CGTCTGTCTTCCTTCTACATCCTCATGTCCGTCTTCTTTTTCCACCGTCACGCCCGTCTTCTTTTTCCACCGTCACGTCGTCTTCTGTTTTCACCGTCACATCCATCGTCTTCTGTTTCCACCGTCTGCTTCTTCCACCGTCACATCCGTCTTCTTCTTCTACCGTCACGTCTGTCTTCTTCTTCCACCGTCACGTTTGTCTTCTTCCACCGTCACGTCCGTCTTCTTCTTTTTTCCACTGTCACGTCCGTCTTCTTCTTTTTCCACCATCACGTCTGTTTTCTTTCGTCTTCCACCGTCACGTCCGTCTTCCTCTTCCACCGTCACGTTCGTCTTCCTCTTCCACCGTCACGTCTGTCTTCTTCTTCTTCCCACCGTCACGTCTGTCTTCTTCTTCTTCCACCGTCACGTCTGTCTTCTACTTCTTCCACCGTCACGTCTGTCTTCTACTTCTTCCTCTGTCACGTCCTTCTTCCTCTTTTTTCCACTGTCACGTCTGTCTTCTTCTTTCACTGTCACGTCCGTCTTCCTCTTCCATCATTATGTCCGTCTTCTTTTTCCAGCGTCACATCTCTTTTCTTTCTTCTTCTTCCACCATCACGTCTGTCTTCTTCTTCTTCCACCATCACGTCTGTCTTCTTCTTCTTCCACCGTCACGTCTGTCTTCTTCTTCTTCCACCGTCACGTCCGTCGTCTTCTTCCACCGTCACGTCCGTCTTCTTCTTCCACCGTCACGTACGTCTTCTGTTTCCACCGTCACGTCCGTCTTCTTCCACCATCACGTCCGTCTTCTTTTTCCACCGTCGCGTCCGTCTTCTTCCACCGTCACATCCGTCTTCTTTTTCCACCGTTGCGTCCGTCTTTTTCTTCCACCTTCACGTCCGTCTTCTTTTTCCACCATCGCGTCCGTCTTCTTCTACCGTCACGTCCGTCTTCTTTTTCCTCCGTCGCGTCCGTCTTTTTCTTTTTCCACCGTTACGTCCGTCGTCTTCTTCCACCGTCACGTCCGTTGTCTTCTTCCACCGTCTCGTCCGTCGTCTTCTTTTTCCACCGTCACGTCTGTCTTCTTCCCTACATCCTCATGTCCGTCTTCTTTTTCCACCGTCACGCCCGTCTTCTTTCTCCACCGTCACGCCCGTCTTCTTTTTCCATCGTCACGTTCGTCTTCTTCTTCCACCGTCACGTCCCTCTTCTTCTTTTTAAACCGTCACGTCCGTCTTCTTCTTCCACCGTCACATCCTCTTTCTATCCCCGACCCAGCGGTCTAAATCGTTCCTGGCCCATTTAAGATTGGGCACTTCATTTTTTATGCTCCGCCCACTTTTGGGATATTAAAATTTAAAATGAATAATTGACTTCTGTGTACTAAGCTTGGGCTTAGATCTCCGGAGAGATCATTGTTTTGTAGTGTCTATGTACTCGGTCTAAGTTCATTGCCAATCTGTATGCAATTGCACTGTGTGCTGGCAGATTGCATGCAGACTGTAAGCTAGCAGATCTGCCAGACAGATATCTGTGTGTGTGTGGTGGCCCAGCAGTCCATTTGTTGTGTCTGGTGTGGGGGGGGGGGGGTGTGGGACAGTAGACGATTGATCAACCCTGGAGTTCGCGTTTGTAGGATAGCTGTAGGAATCCTAGAAGGGTGTGCCAATTGCTAGACTGCTCCCCAACCCTTAGAGTGCACCAGATTGTATGAAAGATTCCTATCTGCCTGTGTGTGGTCAGCCAGCTAGATTGGAATGGAATCTCCCTCTAGTGGTGGCCAGAGGTAGTGCGGACTGTGAAAGGGTATCCTGGACGGTCATTATTGTTCTAAGTAAGTCCCCCTCATTCCCTCTTTACCCCAAGACTAGGGCCACGCCCCAGTTAGTTGCCATGATTGTGTGAGTGTACACTAAGTACATCTGCTATCCATCTACAGAGAAACCTGCATAGATCACATGACCACACGAATGAGAATGGAGGAGGACCAGAGTCACATGACTGAGAGGATACTAAACCTCACCCTGAAGATCATCTACCTGCTGACCGGAGAGGTGAGGAGGATTCTGGGAGGTCACATGACATCACTCTCATCTTTATTAATGAATGAACACACAGACTTGACTGGAGAGGTGAGGAGGATTCTGGGAGGTCACATGCAGGGGCGGACTGACCATTTGGAAACTCGGGCACTGCTCGAGGGCCGGGGGTCAGTAGGGGGCCCCATGAGAGACCCTGGTACCTTTTTCATAGGCTTTTTTGAGTTTGGGCAAGGACACAGGGGCCCCATGATCCCCTATTGCCCGGGGGCCCCATGAGTTGTAAGTCCGCCCCTGGTCACATGACATCACTCACTTCTATTAATAAAACACAGACCTGACCGGAGAGGTGAGGAGGATTCTGGGAGGTCACATGACATCACACAGACCTGACCAGAGAGGTGAGGTGGATTCTGGGAGGTCACACGGCATCACATAGACCTGTCCGGAGAGGTGAGGAGGATTCTGGGAGGTCACATGACATCACACAGACCTGACCGGAGAGGTGAGGAGGATTCTGGGAGGTCACATGACATCACTCTGGTCTAGTCTGGCCAATAGACCATGTTCTTCTTGTAGACATGTAGATGATGTCAGATGATTGATATCGGTTTCTCTTTCTCCTGATCTGTAGGATTATGTTGTAGTGAAGAAGTCTAGTGGGGAGCCAATCTCAGGAGGATGGAGCAGGACCCAGAGCCCCACCATGATTCCTCCCCCTCGTTCTCCCATACCTGAGAGGAACAAAGAGCAGAAGATCCTGGAACTGACCACCATGATGGTCCATCTGCTGACAGGAGAGGTGAGCGGTGCCGGGAATTCTGGGACATTCTCCAGTAACAGACAAGGGATGTGTCTGGATGGTGACTATATCATTGTGTGTATCAGGTTCCTATAAGGTGTCAGGGTGTCACTGTCTATTTCTCCATGGAGGAGTGGGAGTATTTAGAAGGACACAAGGACCTCTACAAGGACGTCATGATGGACAATCAGCCGCCCCTCACATCACCGGGTAAGAGGAGACTTTATTGGAAAGGAGAGAGCAGTACGGAGGATCCACCTAGATCCCCCATCATCTGATAAACACATAGAAACAATGGATTCAGTCAGTGTGTGTGTTTCCTACAGATGGATCCAGTCATGGGAACCCCACCAGAGAGATGTCCCCGTCCTCTGTATTCCTGGGATTCCACACAGGAAGGTCACACCATCCCTCACCATCATCCGGTAGATGAGGAAACAAGTATTGGTTGTTCTGATTTAAACACAGCATACTTGTTACAATGATTTTTTTATTATCTATTCAGATTGGAAACTTCAAAGAGTATAACTTTGTTGGAAAAGAAGAGTATAAAGAGGAGGATGAGGAGTATGGAGTGATGGTGGAGTTTTCAGAAAGACACAAGGATGTGATGGAGCCACCTAATACCAGGAACCCACCAGAGAGATGTCCCTGTCCTCTGTATTCCCGGGATTCCACACAGGAAGATCCCACCATCCCTCACCATCATCAGGTAGATGGATCCAATCATGGGAACCCACCAGAGAGATGTCCCCTTCCTCTGTATTCCTGGGATTCCACACAGGAAGGTCACACCATCCCTCACCATCATCAGGTAGATGATGTACAAATCACAACTATCAGTGATTGTTCCTCAAGCTTTCTTGTTATAATGTACATTTTATTATATATTTAGAGTGAAAACCTCAGAGATTATAATATTGTTGTTAAAGAAGAGGATGATGAGTATGGAGGGATGATTCTTTCTAAGGGACACAAGGACCTCTACAAGGACGTCATGATGGACAATCAGCCGCCCCTCACATCACCGGGTTAAGAGGAGACTTTATTGGAAAGGAGAGAGCACTATATATACTCTGTTGTAAATTACATACTCCTGACCCCTGCACTATATACTCCATGTTGTACATTACATACTCCTGACCCCTGCACTATATACTCTATGTTGTACATTACATACTTCTGACCCCTGCACTATATACTCCATGTTGTACATTACATACTCCTGACCCCTGTACTATATACTCCATGTTGTACATAACATACTCCTGACCCCTGCACTATACACTCCATGTTGTACATTACATACTCCTGACTTCTGCTCTCCCCCAACTGCTATATATACACATAATATGTTTTCTCCTCTGTTCCCCCCATTTCCTACCAGCTGGACATTTTATATTGGATGATGTGATTGGAGCACAGACTGTTACATGGTGATAATAATGTGATCACATCTTCCAACCAGAAAGTTATAATGGGGGAGGAGCCAATACCCCAATGATGGTGGTCTTCAGGATGGGGAGGAGCCAATACCCAATGATGGTGGTCTTCAGGATGGGGGAGGAGCCAATGATGGTGGTCTTCAGGGTCAGGATGGAGGAGGAGCCAATACACCAATGATGGTGATGTTCAGGATGGGGGAGGAGCCAACACCCCAATGAAGGTGGTCTTCAGGATGGGGGAGGAGACAATATCCCAATGATGGTGGTCTTCAGGACCAGTCCAGTCTCCCTCTTGGTCCCCCTCCCCCCATCCTCACTCTCTGACCTCTGGTGGGGCTCCTGTGTAGTAATCCTCTTTGTCTTTGTATTTTAGTCCATGGCCGGGAGATGAGGAAAACCTCCGAGGATTGTCTCACTTTGTCTCCAGACTGGAAAGTAGAAGATGAGGACATCACACAGTATGGTCCAGGAGAAAACCCGGCTCCCTCCAATGTCCATCTGGCACCACCCAGTGTAGATGAACCATCGGATTCCTCATATCCTGAGGAACCTCAGACTGTGCGGGACCGGGCCGGCCTTCCAACAGGGAAGAGCTTCTCCTGTACTGAGTGCGGGAGGGGTTTCCGTTATAAATCCGGTCTTATTCTGCATAAAAGAACTCACATTAGTAAGCCACATTCCTGTCCTGAGTGCGGGAAATGTTTCCGTTTTAAATCCCGTCTTATTGTGCATGAAAGATCTCACATGAGTAAGAAGCCACCTTCCTGTCCTGAGTGCGGGAAATGTTTTCGTTTTAATTCCCATCTTGTTGTGCATAAAAGAACTCACACAGGTGAGAAGCCACATTCCTGTCCCGAGTGCGGGAAATGTTTTTCATTGAAATCCAATCTTTCCAAACATCAGAGATTGCACATAGGGGAGAAGCTGTATTCCTGTCCTGAGTGCGGGAAATGTTTTTCAGATAAGTTTGATTTTTATTCTCATCAGAGGACTCACACAGGTGAGAGACCATATTCCTGTGCTGAGTGCGGGAAATGTTTTTCAGTGAAGTTTAGTCTTTGCAGACATCAGAGATCTCACACAGAACAAAAGCCGTATTTCTGTCCTGAGTGTGGGAAATGTTTTTCACAGAAGCCCCATCTTTACAGACATCAGAGATCTCACACAGGGGAGAAGCCTTATTCCTGTCCTGAGTGCGGGAAATGTTTTGCAGATAAGTCCAGTCTTTCTGCACATCAGAGATCTCACACAGGGGAGAGACCATATTCCTGTGCTGAGTGCGGGAAATGTTTTTCACGGAAGTACGATCTTTATACTCATCAGAGGACTCACAGAGGTGAGAGACCATATTCCTGTGCTGAGTGCGGGAAATGTTTTTCACGGAAGTCCGATCTTTATACTCATCAGAGGACTCACACAGGTAAGAAGCTGTATTCCTGTGCTGAATGTGGGAAATGTTTTTCACATAAATCACGACTTGCCAAACATCAGAGGTCTCACACAGGGAAAAGCCATATTCCTGTGCTGAGTGCGGGAAATGTTTTGCAGATAAGTCCAGTCTTTGCAGACATCAGAGATCTCACACAGGGGAGAAGCCGTATTCCTGTCCTGAGTGCTGGAAATGTTTTTCAACTAAGCCCAGTCTTTCTGAACATCAGAGATGTCACACAGAAGAGAGGTCATATTCCTGTCCTGCATGTGGGAAATGTTTTTCAAGGAGGTTCAATCTTTACAGACATCAGAGATCTCACACGGGGGAGAAGCCACGTTCCTGTCCTGAGTGAGGGAAATGTTCCTCACTGAAGTCCTGCCTTCCTGCTCAGCAGGGGTCCCACACAATCCTCAAGGTGTATTAGTGTCTTGAGTGCGGGAAATGTCTTCTATATGAATTTTGCTGGGTATCCCAGCTCATGATCTGAGGAAGGGGCCAGTCCCTGAAACATGTTCTCATGATGACCGGCTTTTCTCCATTGGTTTGACATGGCTTGAGTGCTCTGGATTGTCATGTCATCCACCTGGTGAGAGACCACCCAAACAAGGGCTGGTGAGGGCAAACTGGAAGCCTAGGGGAGCACTCAAGCCATGTCATACCAAAAGAGAGAAGCCAATCATGATAACATGTTTCAGGGACTTGCCCCTTCCTTAGATCATGAGGAAGGGTCAAGGCTTCTCACCATTGGTATGACATGGTTATGGTGCTCCCCTAGGCTTTCAGTTTGCCCTCACCAGCCCTTGTTCTGGTGGTCTCTCACCAGGTGTATGACAATCCAGAGCACTTAAGCCATGTCATACCAATGTCCCCTCCCCCCATTGTCTATGTCGGGATCTTTCCTACCACACTTTGTTATAACAATGGAACACGTTGTGTATTGTACGCCAATCAATAATGACTCCGCCTCCACATTCCAGACAAGGGATCTTCCCGACCAATCGGATTTCTGCCTTTACTGTCCCGATTCTATGACTGTAATCTTTGTACAAAGTAAAATTCTAATAAAATATATAATGAATGAACAATAAATAGTGAGTGTCTGTGCGATGACGGCAAACGGGTATCCAAAGATGGCTGGTAGGTAACGCTGTACAGGTCATCTGTGTACAGTTAACCAGGAATGCTGGCCCAGGTGCAGGGGTCAGGAGTATATCGTATACAGCCCAGGTGCAGGGGTCAGGAGTATATCATATACAGCCCTGTGTATAGAGTGCAGGGGTCAGGAGTATATCATATACAGCCCAGGATACAGAGTGCAGTGGTCAGGAGTATATCATATACAGCCTTGTGTATAGAGTTCAGGGGTCAGGAATATATCATATACAGCCCTGTGTATAGAGTGCAGGGGTCAGGAGTATATCATATACAGCCATGGGTACAGAGTGCAGTGGTCAGGAGTATATCATATACAGCCTTGTGTATAGAGTTCAGGGGTCAGGAGTATATCATATACAGCCCTGTGTATGCAGTGCAGGGGTCAGGAGTATATCAAATACAGAGCTGTGTATAGAGTGCAGGGGGCAGGAGTATCATATACAGACCAGGTGCAGGGGTCAGGAGTATATCATATACAGCCCTGTGTATAGAGTTCAGTGGTCAGAAGTATATCATATACAGCCCATCGTACAGAATGCCAGTAATCAGAAGAACATCATAAACCGCCTCATACACAGAGCAGTGGCCAGAAACAAGTCATATACAGCCCAGTGTACAGAGTGCAGTGGTCACTATCTCTGATTGCTAAGGAAGCAGTGGAGGGTGGCACTGCCAAAGTTTGGGTCACACGATTAGCTTATTCCTACTCTCTAAAACCCAGAGCTCATCCCTAGTGGTCAGTGTAGCGGTCCCTTACATTGGTGACCGATGGGAGAAGGACCCCCTTATATCAGTGGTCAGTGTAGCGGTCCCTTACATTGGTGACCGATAGGAGAAGGACCCCCTTATATCAGTGGTCAGTGTAGCGGTCCCTTACATTGGTGACCGATGGGAGAAGGACCCCCTTATATCAGTGGTCAGTGTAGCGGTCCCTTACATTGGTGACCGATGGGAGAAGGACCCCCTTATATCAGTGGTCAGTGTAGCGGTCCATTACATTGGTGACCGATGGGAGAAGGACCCCCTTATATCAGTGGTCAGTGTAACGGTCCTTTACATTGGTGACCGATGGGAGAAGGACCCCCTATATCAGTGATCAGTGTAGCGGTCTCTTACATTGGTGACCGATGGGAGAAGGACCCCTTATTTCATTGGTCAGTGTAGTGGTCCCTGACATTGGTGACCGATGGGAGAAGAACTCCCTTATATCAGTGGTCAGTGTGGTGGTCCCTGACATTGGTGACCGATGGGAAAGGACCCCCTTATATCAGTGGTCAGTGTGGTGGTCCCTTACATTGGTGACCGATGAGAGAAGGACCCCCTTATATCAGTGGTCAGGGTAGTGCACTCTGAACTCTGTGCTGTATATGATATACTCCTGACCACTGCACTTTGCATCCTGGGTCCTATATGGCATCCACCTGACCACTGCAGTCTGGGCCAGTATTATTACCTCTAAAGGCTTTTGAAGTGTCACCTTATGAGAAACATTTAGATGTTGTCATCGTTACACCGACACACAGAACATTTTTTTTTTGCAG